TTCTGAGCCGATACGACGGAAAGTCTACATCCAGCCCTGCTCAGAAAGGGTTAGAGTTCGTGTATGCACTCTGCAATAATCTCTGAGGCGTAATTTGTTTCAGGAAACATCCTTTGAACATGAAAAAATAAAAATCTAATATGCTAATTTAGTCATTTGATTAAGTAGAGTAGATTTTATTCGCACAAGCGAGTTTTGCGAAACAATAACTTTCAAACAAGGAAAATGAAATCTGTAACACGAGACGAATGACCTCGAAAGGAATTCAGTAAAATGTTTTATGAGTTGGCAGATGTCAGCCTTCAACAAACAATCAACGTACATCAATGTAAGAAATCCCATGACCACAGGAAGTTAGTACTTAATAACTGCTGAGATGTCGGTCTCCTTCATGACTGGTGATTTATGGAGTAATTCTGTTTAATCTGATATCTGCTTCTGTCCGACCAGCCAGGAACCGCTTAAGTGCGGAATCAACAGCATTGCTTGGATTCTCCTGTCTCCTGTCCACAATATAATACTCATTTATGAGTCTCATAAGGAAGACCAATAACCTGACAGGGGCTCGAATCCGCTGCCTTTCCACTCTGAGTCGAACCTGTTACCGACTGAATGACCTTTACCACAGTTAACCATACCTCAAAAAAGTCAAGCACAAATTAAGAATAGAAACTTTATACATCAGGTAATATTTTGGAAAGTAGCATAAACGAAAAATTCGAAGTATCAAAGTACCTTTTAAATTTGTATTTTTAAGATAAAGGTTTTACCTGTTTTTTGCTCTTACAGTTATTAAGCTTATGAAATGGCTAAATTATGCAACCGAAAATCTGATAGTTACCAAGGAATTATTGCTTCCATCTGCTGGACACTTATTTTAGAACTTTGCAGATGCTTTCATCTATAGCTAAAGTCAGCCGCAGGACTTTTGCAGCATAAAGTGAGAGATATTACCGTAACCTTCGTCCAGGAGAGAGTAAAACTCAAAACTGCAAGCTGTTGAATAATGGGATCTTTCGACGTGGTTGTTTCGTTTATGTTTGAGTAGAGGAGCACTTTAAAGATGTATACCCACTCTGACATACTCAACGAAAGCAAGCAAGTATACAACAGACATGTTAAAAAGTTACAAGTACGTTCAGGTATCCTACGGTGGAAGGTTTAATTTGTGAATTGAAAATCTTAAAATCGAAGGAGAAATTTTTTCTCGAAGGCTGGTGTCCCTTTCGAAGGAGCGAGATTCTGCTGGCTCTCCCATCAATGTGGTAACCGCCGGTATATGCATGGACCACTAGCAAACTGATATATCTGATACCCAGCAACGTTAGCACGAGCCGTTTAAAATTGATTTACTAGATATTTGTAAACCTTAGCAAGCGCACATTCCAATACCGTTGTAGCTATAGAAGTAAGTGAAAAAACAAGTCATGAGCAGGCGAATTATCTCCATTGTAGGAAAGAGAGAATATCACTTAATTAGCTTCCTCGATATGCAAATGATTAACAATGATCTCCAAAATCAGGTCCTTGACATTGTGATACAGGAAAACAGTCATTTTAATATTTACCAATAACACTTTTCTGGTAATTCAGCATCTTCATCAGCGTTTGCCGCTCCACTGCTGAATTAAGGTCTTTTCAAGACTCGTCAGAGGCATTTTACTACTCTTTTCATCCGTCTTGATTTAGCGAACTTCTTTATTACATCATGCTATCGATCTGCAGATGTTCTGGTAGCCGCCTACTCTCTCTTAAAATCCAGCCTAATGTCTCTTTTGTCCAGTGATGGTCGGTTTTCTTGAAAAGTAACTTGTCCATTGCAACTTTAACGTCTTCGCTCAGGCAGTAACATCGTATTCTCTTCTATGTGCTGTTGTCCATTCGTTCATCTTCCTGTCATATTTTGATATTCCAAATATACCACTTTCCACGTTGCACTGCATAGTCTGCAATTATGAACAGGTTTCAGGCTGAGGCTCTACGTTTAGCAATTGGAGCACACACCGATCGAATACCTTCCGTTCCAAACGCATCGGCGGTTTCAGGATAAGAACATTTCATTTCTTCTAACGGAGCTGTATGCGATTTTTATCTTTCCATTGATCTCCCAATGTCGGTTCTCAGTTGCAGAGACAACCCGTCTCAGAAGATGTAGTTTCTCGCATCTTCAAAAATGGTCAGTTGAGTTCAACATGGCCAGATGTCTGAAACGGCATGGTCCAAGCTTTCTTTAGGTTCATTTTCACTCCAACGTTGATGTTATCATTCAGCTCTTGACTGCTGCGTTGGAATTCTTCTGGCGATCTTGAGAGGATCAAAACTTCATCCGCACCCACCGGTAGCTTAGGTTGTGCCCGTTGCGTTCAGTCCCTGATTTTTCTAACGGAGTGTCTTGAAAACCTTTCTAGAGTTGCACTGAGTAACTTCGGTGTTATTGTGCCTCCACATCGAGTGCCCTTTTCGGTTTTAAACATTTTTACGTTTTCGTGAAGCTTCACACCAGCTGTTACACTCTTGTGTATCATGGTGATCAGGTTTGTGTACTTTCTGTCTTTTTCTTGACTCCTTAAGGAATCGATACAGAACGATAGTACACCGATTCGAAAACATTTTTGAAATCGAAGAAAGACCCACAAGAAGCAGATACTCGTCCCTTGCCTGAATTCTTTCCGAATCAGCCGATGATCCATCGTACCAAATCCCCTTCTAAATTCTGTTTACTCATTTAACTGTGCAGCGTCCTGTTTTTCTTGGAGTCTGCCCTTCGGCACCTTCGTAATGAACTTGTGGATGATTAATAACAAACTGATTATCTGTTGTTCTTCAGATCATCTGTGTCTCCCGTTTGCGAGGAGTAGCATCACCGATGAGGTAGATCCAATTGTCCAGAATCTTCCGTTTTTTCAGTCAGCGTGAAAAGAAACGAGCTAGTATTTTGATCAATGCAAAATCCATCACTTCCACAGTAATGTCTTCTTCGCTATAATGTTGTATTCTGTTCCCCTGTAAAGTCTTATTCGCCTTTCCTTCGCTTCACCTGTCCCATCGCGTGTGGTAATTCTTCTGGCAAGAGATCTGAAGTTTCGTCAACACTGAAGTTGCCAATCAGAGTGACGAACTCCATGGCTCGAACATCGTTCATTGTACTGCCTGCACCACCCACGATGTTCTGACTGTAATTTATGCATTCGCCTGTTACAGCCTTAGTCGGAACATTGCACTCTTCCACAGACAAGCTTCCTTTGCACGACTCTGTCAGTCAAAGTGATTTCTACCAGAAACCAATCTCAGTCTGGCCGCGGATCTTCCAGTCCATAACTGATTGGAAAAGCTTCCACCTGCAGAACTTCAGAATTTCTGAACTCTGGCGTTAGAGTCCTATGATGATGAGTTATCCACTGCCAGCCTCGTCAGGTTTTTTCTTTGAATAAGGAGATTTTCCAATTTTCAATTTTTGCGTTCCATATTGTTTCCTTGTACGATAGTGGCCTTACGCTGTCCGCTATTCTCCATCTCGCGCATATAATGATACGGTTGGTGACCACTGTCTTCCACATGTTTGTCTATATCTTCTCACCCGTCGCCGTGCTGTTCTGCCTTCGTTGCCCCAAAGCGTGAAACCGCCTCTGATCACCGACTTTTCACAGTTTGCCTTGGTTTCCGAACAGCCCGCAAGATCCATGGTACCCAGGACGACATTGAGGAGACAGAGTGTTCGGTAACTTAGATACCATGAGGGACAAGTGGCTTAGATTAGGTGAGACTTCACCACGGTTCCGGTTCTAAACCATTTCCTATTCTCATCCGATCTTTGGTCCTGCGAAGGCCAGAGTAGTTTATTCCGTGCCACTTTTTCCATGTATTGGAATCGATTAATTGAAAATATCATAGTCCAGTCCTTTGAAAGAACGTGTAAGTTCTGTGCATATGCAACATTAAGTGGGACTAAAGAAAAGAAAATTTGGCTTAAAATCTCATTGGCGTAAATAAAGACAACCTTACAGATATAACAGCACCGTCAGCACGACTCCAAAATTATGAAAGCCATACGTCCTCCAACAATGTCTTACTTTTGCTTTTCTTCTTCAATTTTACTCTCGCAGTTAGTGATGGTGAATATCCTTAATTTCGATCCTTGAAGATATGACTTGTTCAGCGTCAGTAGATGTGATATGAGCACCGTAAGACCTGAATTTGTTGGTAAGCAGCAAAATCGATAAAATAAGAAAAGCGTAACAGAATCTCTCTACCTCCGTCGTCGTACAGCCACCAAACATCGATGACAGCTTTCTTAATCTTAGTTTTAAACACATCAAACTGTGTCGAGGCGCCGGTGCTCTTCTTCTTCCACTTGATGCGATTCAAAACAGTAGACTTTTTCCTTGGACCGAGTGCTTTGTGAACGTTGCTGGTTACGATTTCGAACTGCAGGTCTCGGATCGACTCTTCATCAATTGAACTCTCATAACCTGGATCACACCTCAAACTCTTCACCGCCGGATGAGTCCGTGGGGCAATGCTTTTGCCGTTGATGACGTCGATGATCGACTCCGAGAAATTCACATCCAAACTGCTCGCCTAAACCAGCCAGTTACGAGCAAACGGTCATCAATCAATCAAAACGTACATCAAATTCACTGTTTTGACTCAAGAACTTGCAACGGTTTTTGTATTCTAGGTCGTTTGGAAACACGTCCGTGTCGCTACTGACCGCCGACTGTATACTTGTTTTCCGCAGGTTCCGGTCACTCTGTGCAGTCCAGACATTTTGGCCGTCGTCTGAGGTTTGGTGAAGCATTTCGGTTTTCCTCGTTTCATCGATCAGCTGAGAGATGTCAAAGCCTTGAGGTAAACGAAGAATGCACACTCCCTTGTCAAAGTCAAATCCGAGACTAAACCAAACATTAATCAAACAGCGAAATATGTTCCAGCGAAGTGCAAAATTTATTTTGTCATATTAATAACATACGTGTTAAAGGCAGAATGATACTCTCACTAAGTTAAGATTATACATGTGCGCATGAACTGAAAAAGTGGTTTTCAGTTCCAACCAATGGTAAAGTTTACATGGTTGAGCCTTTATTTTCGTTCATTTCATCCCATCGTTTCGAACATAATTACGGAGTGGCCTTTTGAAGGAAAACCTCGCTCCTTACGTTGCTCTGTCTATCACAGAACGATTAATATCAAGAACTAGAAGTCGGATACCGAGTGCATTTCGAAAAAAAGGCTATGGTGAACTTTTATGTGGCGGCCATCACTTAATTTAAGTGCCTCGTCCGTTGCACTTCCTTGAAAGCGTTATATGCCCGTCCATTCACGCACACCCGACTCGGATATCTGAGTAAGTGAGTGCGTAATGGTGAAACACTCAGGGATTTAACTGACGTTTTCATCACGATGAAAATGAATACCCATCTCTGATGAGAGATCACTTTGAACATGACAGAACAATACTTACTGCAGAAGTGTTGCAAAATCAAACAAGCATGTTCATATGTGCTAAATTCTTACGTAAGTTTCCCGTAGTTAGCAAGTTCTTAGCTTTACCCTCAGTTATTTAAAGAATTGGTGTCTAGTCCTATCGCCAGAAAACTTTAAACGTAATAATTCAGTTAAAAGAATAATGCTTGAAATCGAAGTCGCATAATTTCTTGTATACAGATTGATTTAAACGAATTATCACCATCACCAACAAACGGAGGCAACATTTGAATAAGGAACAAATGTTTTATTTAACAAACAGCTAATAACCTCAGAAATGGAACTCTATTTCGACTGCAACTTCCTTCCCTCCTCAATAAAATTATTTGAGTCAAATAATCTGACCGAAATGGTTGGCAAATCCGGTCGAAACTTGGTTCCATTTTTGATATCTTTGAGGTGGGTTCAGCAATACGTGTTTTGGCATTGATATGAATTCAGCATCGGCAAATTCTATCAAATCCAGCATCGCCTGGATCTGAAACTTCATGAACAAAATTAACCGAAGGGTCTTACTCAGCCTGTATTAATAAAGTTTGATAATGCTTTGATTACTACATATCGATTACCGGATGCTGTGTAATTTCCAGAAGTTGATACTCTCTCAGGGCCTTATTCAGTTATAGATAATAGTGTACAGTACTCAAAGAAGGTGTCAAACATTTAGCGTAATTGAGGCACTACGGCTGTTTACATCAACTGAGTGACAGCCATTGCAAAGTTGGCCCATTTTGCTTTCTTGGAAAAGATGATAATTTATCCATTATTAATGGATAAAAGAAAATATGTAAATCGGAATTCAAGGATTGTTCTTTACTTGATATTGGTACAGCCATCTGCAATAATCGTCGTGTCTTCTCAACGAGAATTTGCTACTTCTGACGAGAAAGACTGCCTCTAACAACAACTAGTATTCACCCAGTTCGCCTCCTGTACCCTGCAGTGACGGATAGAGGGCGCTAATCAACCTCAGTACCGAAATATGGGTAAACAAGCGGACAGCTTGGTTGCTATATACTATACAATACGAGCTGTAAATGCTAAGCTACTTAAGGTCTGTGCATCTGCTAGTCGCTTTGAGATGGGGTCATGGCTAACAAGGCGCAGTTCATCGCAGAGCACAGTATCCAATCATGGTCACAAGCTCAAATCGATTGACCACATTGTGACACGACACAATAGTTGAAACCTAAAGAGCTTCGAATTCTATGGAGACGCAGAAAGATGCATATCAACTGAGCACAGATTTATTATGGATAGAATTTCCGTCTTGGTTTCACTTTGCGCCAAACCAAACTACTGCTTTGAACGAACAGTCGGAAGTTGCGAGCCTCCAATAGGATGACAAAGGAGCAGCTAAGGCGAACAACATTGAAATCAATAAACGCCTTGGAATTGTCAGTCCACAGACTCTGGGTAGATTGAGATCTTCTGAGGCGAACCGCAGAGTCAACCCAGAACCTGCTGACACCAAAGGCAAAAATTGTGAGGCCTGACATCGTTCAAACGGCTATATGGAATGCCGTTAGTTGACAAAATTTCATTGGCTGAATATCAGAACTACGGACCATTCATGCCATGAGCTTGAAGGCGTCGTCGTCGCCTCGAAATCATGCAACAAACCAAACACCTTGAGCCCTACGTTGGTCGGTGTCACTGCCGCAAGCCGCAACTTAGATACTGCTGCTGGTTCAGATTTTATGCCACCACAGCTCTTGAACTGCGCCAATGCGCAGATCTGTGCATGACTACATGACGCGTTTTGAAGGTACGGAATAAAAGTCGAATATAAGACGAATTGAGGGACACATCCGTTGCTTCTCTGCACAAAGGTTAAGGTCCAAATATGGATTTCAGAAGTTAATGGTCTTGTAATGTTGCTGTAAGCAATGTTACAGCTAGTGGAAGCTTGTAATGGAAGCTAATGTTGCTGTAAGGCACTGCAAACAATTTCTCATATATTCGGCTGACAAAGTAGAGTGCTTTCTCGGCAGATGTTAACAGACTCAGTCATCAGAATTCACCGACATCTGTTCGACAATTGTCCGAGTCGTTGTGTAACCTTGAAATAAAAGACTAATTTCAAAAATAAATAGGGGACTCAATCAACTAATGCTGATAGCCTACGTAGACCTGTGTCGGATTTTGACTCAATGAACCATTAGCCGTTTTTTGACCGCACCTGAGTTCATGAGTGTTGTTCAACCTCCACAAGACCCACGCTGTGTCACCACGGTATTGTTCTACCTGGCAAATCCAAGTTTCTGCATCTTCAGTAAAAGGATGCCCGTTTGCTCCAATCATCCATCTGATTCTTTAATATATGTAGAGCGATTCTATTTTTATTAATCTGGATTACGCACATTACATCGCTCCCTTCACCAGTTTCCAGTACTGCTATGGTCCTTTCACTTATGCTTCAAACATGCCTCGAATCTAAGCTCGGATCGAGGATCTCTTGATATAGCACGAAGGTTAATTTTTGCCCAAATGAATAATCATATAGTTGATGGTTATAGAAACTACACACTACTTTGGAACTCCCAGATCTCCTCACGGCATTGCAGACCAGAGATATTCCGTTGGATTAGTCTTTCCCCATCTGCTCAGGATGCGTCATGCAGGTCAGCAAAGAGATATAGCTCTATCTGTTTTGAAGTTTTCCACTACTCAACGTGGACCAGAGATTTAGGCTCTGCAGGTCGTAGAGACGAATAACCATCGCCATGGCACGGAAAGTCGAAGGCTGTTTCCTCCCGTCACTGGCACAAGTCGCTCAAAATGGGACGTCATCAAGTAATTGGGCTACCCCTTACACTGCTACTGCAGTACTACCCACTGAGGTCATGCGATGAAGTCAGCAATAGTGAGAATCAAGCTTCTGTCTCATAGTCATGCTTCAGTGTTGCAAATATCTGCAGAGGTGTTCCGCCTCGCTTTCCTAATGACCTGCTGATGAATACCGAATGTAACGTAGACCTAGCTCATGCACGCCGACAAATATTTAACAAATCAGCATTGCTTTTTTCAGGAGCAATGCTTCCTTTGCGCCAAGGCCTTGCTGCTAGCTACGGTTTGCTGTTTGCGTTGACATACGATTAAAGCAAAAGGTGGCACAGAGAATTTTCGTCGAATTCACGCAAGGCATGAAAGGCTAATCAGGCTTTCGAATCATATCATGAAGATGGCAGAGATGTTAATACTTATTAATTTTTATGTGCCTCATTATTTTGCTCATTCATAGATTTAAAACCCTTCTTACTGGATTAGTTGAAAGTAGTCGTAAATCTCTTTGAGTGTGCATTCTTCCCAATTATTCTTGTACCCAATGAAAAGGATGTTTGGCATCAAGTTGCTCATTCCGGATAGCTGCAAAAGTGACTGTGCTCCTTCAAGCAATGTCGAAGAGATCACTGCTCGATAAAATGCATAAACGCGACGTCTCTTTAGCCATTTGAACATATGTTGGGTAAAATTATCTACCGCCGCTATCAGCCGTTCTGTTACCGTGCCCTAAAAATAGCAACATATTCATAAATGCATCATTAAAGCATTGTCAGCGACGGCTCGCCGGCCGGCTCCACCTACCGGGACCACGTGACCGCATATCATCAAGCAGCTGTCTTTCGTTATATTCGACACAAAATCGACTAAAGCCGGTCGTCGAACCGGACTTCCGGTTAAAACCAAAAATTGCGGCCGATACGTTTTCACGTGATGAGGCATATTCTGTAGTTTTAGGATTTTTTGCAAAGCACTTCGGTACATGTTTGCCTGAGAACTTGTGCCCCAGTTTACGTCTGAAATAGTTATGTAAAACACACGGTAAGAACAAATGTTTTTTACTTACGGCGGTAGTAAAATCGAATCCATTTCTATTTATGCAAATGCCAGCCTTATATCAGAGGGATACTATTCAGCGTTTGCGTAAATTTTTATAACTCAATATTTTCTAGATCTTGGTCACCAAAGTGATCGGCGCATTACATGTTCTTTTCATTTCTATACATTATCTCTGGACTCCGATCAATAAGTTGCCTGAGATTTCACTCTCGTTCAGAGGGTGCACAGTATGACATAAGCGTTTCGTTGTGCTGCCTTTGGAGGCAATGCTTCAATGGTTCTCACTCCTCCTACCAGGGTCTGTAGTCAGAATTCATTTTATCGTAGATACAACCGCTATTAAAACATAATTCGTTTTGTTAATATCGATTGATACGACCTTACTAGCTTAAAGTTTCAAGGTTCCAAGCTTTGTGGCTACTGCCGCTGCAGCAAGCTTCACCTGTAGGTTGCCATGTATTCAATCTTCTCCCATGAACTTATCGCTCGAGGCCCTTTCATGAGCTGCGCCATAGCAGCGGTGCAGGTGTTGCGGTTATTTCATTGAACCTTCATGTGTTGAAATTGGGTCAGTCTGCTCTTGACGTCTTCCATGAACGTTCTTTCAAGACATTGGGATGATCAAAACATGATCAAGAAGTAACCGAACAAGTTTCAAATGGACAAGTTTCGGCAGAGAACGCTGTTTTTGTTTGCAGAGAGGTTTACAACTTTCATAGCAGCTGCATCCATAGAACCGGAAGCACTGATCACACACGCCTCAGGGAGGGTGCGCGACATCCAGAAATAGTGGAACTTCCTCTTCGCAGAGACAAATAAAGTTCAAGGTGGCCCTCATGGCTTTCACTGTCTTCCATACATTAGAACCGTGTAAAGTGCAAAAGAATATTTACCATGTATGAATTTGTTTATTGCAAAAATAAACAATGATTAAAAGATATTTAATGATAAACTTACCAGGTTTTCTTCGAACCAGGTAGACGTACATCAGAAGAATGAACGTCGTGGTCATTAGCGCCGCCCACCAGTTAATGTAAAACATCAAAACGATGCAAATGAGAGCGCCAAGTAGTGATATCCACTTGTTGTAATGGCGAAAGGCCGGTCTGAATCCAGGGGATTGAGCGAAGGAAGCGTCAAAACATGCGTAATTAATGAGAGCGTAGGAAGCCATATAAAAGTTAGTGATGATTGGGGCAATCGAATTTATTTCCCCTACAAAAACCAAATCGATCGAATGATGTCAATTTTCCGTTTAATTTCCTTACCGATGGCGATGATTAACGCTGCAATGCAGAACGTCAGAAAAAGTGCTTTCTTTGGGTGGTTTTTGCCTTTGCCACTTGGAACAGAGGTCAAAACTTCCAAATATGGAAATATTTTGTCCTTTGCAACCGCCTATGATAATAATGTTGTAAATGGCAACAATAACGAAATTTTAATCCACGTACGTCGAAAATCTGAGGAGCCGAAACCATAGCTGCAAGGGCGGAACTCAAGCTGGCTGCAAAAATGCCCAACGTGATCAGAGGACCCCATCCTCCCTCCATTTCGATCACCTGTCAACGCAAAGCAAAATTGAAAGTAATCAACAGTGCATGCCAAAACGATTTATTTCAGAATTATTTGAAAATGTGAATTAATACCTGGTAAGAATTTAGCAGTCCATATTTACAGGATTCGTTGCACGCCGACAGATTCCCAAACACAATGTCTTCAATTGAACCAGATGCATCTCTGAAAATGATTGCATCTTTGATTTAACGAGACATTTCTTTGCATTTCAAAGCCAAACTTATAGCAGAACCACTATGTTGATTCATGGAAACATTTAAAATTCTTGAATATGCTGATCATATTTCGGTTTTGATATTTCCTAATAAGGTGAATATCCTCAGAAATTTCTGAGAACATCAACACCGGTGACTAATTAAGTAACAAACAAATTTAATCTGGCATAATTACAGAGATGGGCTTCAGTTTCCTCATCGCACTAATTCCTCTTGCTATCACGTCTCGAACCTCTTACGCTGTTTTCATTTTGTCATGTTTTGCTGACAGTGCTCAAACAGCAGAGTAATACAAATTTATGCCTGAACGTTAAAAAATTGCTTCACATCGACATTGGACAACGTCTGCTCTGTGGCAAAGATCCTCCTT